ATTCCTGCTAGGCAAACTCTAGGCAAAACGGCAACATCTAGCAGGCCCCATCCTCCACCTTCCCCCCTGCCCAGCCTTTGAAGGCAACAACAATCACCCAGCCTCGATCCCTTTTAGGAGACCCACCTGAGCAGGCGCAAGGCTGCGTTTACATGGGCCATCTCATTGAATCCTCATAGCCCTTTCTTTTAACTGCTAGATTACAGAAGGGGAAGAAGAGGTGTCATAGCGGCCCGATGTCTATGCCCCTAATGCCTTGCTGGGCCCTGCCCCTCTCTGGAGGCTCAGGAAAAAAAGCTGCTGTGCAAAGTGGGAGCCCCTGGCCCCTCAGTGATGTGCCCAGGCCTTTTAACACAGACACCAGAGGCAAGGAGCCAGCTATCTCATCCCCTTTTCCCCGGTACGAGCATCCCTAATCTGAGGCCCGGGCAGCAGTCCTGATGTCCTGCAAGCTCCTGACGTCGCTTACATTTGCTAGGTTTGAACATTTTCCTGGAGAATGTAGATTTAGACTTTCATCAGATTCCTGGAGGAATATGTGACCTAAAAAAGGTTAAGAGCACTGATGGTTCTGGAAGGAAGAGGTCTGAAATTGATTAGACAAGGGCTGCCAAGCTCAGCTTTCCTGCCATGGCCACGCCAGGGCTCCCTTTCTCCTGCAATGTTGCCCTTGCCAGGCCCTCCAAGAGCCCAGGCAGGCAGAGGGGCCGAGGAGGCTCATGAAGGATCTCTGCCACGTCACCCACAAACCCGGTCTTAATGGTCTCTGTCTCCTCTCGGGGCAAAATCCTCACTTTTATTTTCACTTGGAGCACTTGAGTCACATCCTCACTCCATCTCACCATTCTCTGTGACGCAGTCCCACCAGAAGCCAACCTGGGGAGCCCCCTGAAAGGCAGCTCCTAACTACCCAGGAATTTCTGGGACTCCGAGAGGGCAGTGGAAGCCAGCTGGAGAGGGGTCCCTGCACCAGTTGAGCCAACAGCCTCAGTCCTCAAGAGCAGCCCCATGGTCATGTTCCCATCCCCACTCCCAGGACAGAAGCACTCAAAAAAGCAGGTAGTCTGCAGCTGAGCAGGGACACGTCTGCACAAGGAGGCTGGTGTGTGTCTGTAGATATCAGGATAGCCTGGTGTGCAACTGTGTTATGTGTGTGTGCATGCAGGCAGCCTATGCACAGCCACAGGCCCACCTCCCACACACAGTCAGACACCAGCGTGAGCTCACACATGCCAACAACACCCACACTCCCACATAAGGCCAGGCCTCACATATGCACACACATGTGTACACACATACCCCTTTCTGTGTGATGGCCCTAGTCCTCACACAGATATGCCCATCCAGATCTCATAAAACATCATATTCATGTCTCACATGGGTATCCTTCCATACCCCAACACACACATGTGCCTACTGACATGCACACAGCTCTGACCTGCCATGCGTGTGCACACACAGCAATGTGTGTCCACTCCTTCATGCCCATGCAACTCAGCCAACACCACTCCTTGTGAGACTCAGGCGCACACACATCCTTACGAGGCACACTTGCATCTTCAGGCCTTACACACAAAGCACACATCAGCACTTCTTCCTGGTGTAGACACATGAACGCTTGCACAACTTTTCAGTGCACACAAGTGTACCCCAGAGTCAGTCCTTATACAAGATAGTCAGCCCCCTCCAAAGTCCTAATCCAGCAACACACACCAATCCTCCCTCAAAATGCACACTGCTGCGTGCACAGCCAGGCCTCACCTCGGCACACACTTGCTCAGGGGCCCTGCTCCCTATGCTCCTGCTGCTACGGCGGGAACCAACCCAGGCATGGTGCCCCTTTGCCCACGGGGCAAACTCTGCTCCCAAACTGCACCCATGCTCCTTATCAGGAGTCTCCATAGACCTAGCTGAGGACATCCAGGAACCTGCCCTGACAACTCCACAGCCTACTGGGCTCTCCTAAGAGCTCCCTTCTCCGCTCAGCCTCCCACCCTGCTCTCCATATCAGTCCTCAGAGGCAGAAAACAAGCTCTGGAACTGAGCAACTTTGCCAAAGGACCAGAGTCATTGCCCCCTCCTGCCACCAGCCCCTGCAACAGCCCTGACTCCGTCAACTCACCCCCACTCCTCTCAACACCCAGGAAAGCTCGCCAGTCGCTCAGATATTAACCCCTCCTGTGCCGATGCTCTTCCCTAGAAGGACTTGGAAGGGAGAGGTGAGAGGCGGGATTGCTTACAGGGACAAGTTGGCCCTCAGCTCAGTCACTGCAGGTGTCCATAGTCAAGAACGGCTGCTAGGAGGAGAAGAACTCTCTGTCACTGAAGGGATCCAAGTTGAGGCCAGAAAGCTACCTCAAGCAAAACTAGAGAAAGGATTCCAGCTTTGGACCCAAATGACTGGGAAAATCCCTTCTAACCCCCAGTTTCTGAGACTCTGTGTGCCCAGGTCTCACACACACACACGCGCGTGTGCGCGCACTGTCAACCGGGCACTCATACACACACATTCCTCAGGCTGGCCTGGCACATCTGTGCACCCACAAACATGCCCACACCTGCTCTGGGCACTCTGTGCACAGGCAAGTGCCCCCAAGCCCACACTGTCTGCCATCACCTGTGTGCACAGGCGTGTACTCAGCATTCAGCACGCGCCCCAGGCCCAAGACACCGACCCCCGCCCCTGTGCCCTCCAGGACTCTCAGAGGCGCAACTCACTTTCCCAGTTCCTCGAAGAGCTGGTACTCTTCCGTGAAGCGTGTGCAAGTGATGGTGGCCATCCTGGGGCTGGGCAGGCAGGCGAGGCTCAGGGACGGGGGACCCGGACTGGGGCGCTGCTGCTCTGCTCCCGGGACTGGGGGCCACGCGCCTGCCCGTGCTGCCGAGCGCAAACAGAGAACCGGCTTGACTGAGCAGGGCACTGTGGCTGCTCGCAGCCTCGCGAGCCTTCGTCAGCATCCAGGTCCCCATGGCAACCACCTCCGAAACGCCCTGTTCCCGTTGCCCCGGTAACTGCCTCCCCAACACCTGCCTGCCTTCCACTGCAAAACCTGCTCCCTGACGCCCTGGTCCTACCTTGTACAATACTGTGGGCCTGTGTGGGTCCCGGGGGCGGGAGGACCCAGCACCCCCGGGGTGAGGGGCCGAGGGAGGGGCTGGAGGAAGGGAAAGGGAACAAACTTAGTCCACAGTGAGCGCTCTTCCCACCTCCCCCATCTCCAACTGTGGGGCCCTTTCAGCAGACGGGATGGGATAAAGTGGGGCAAAAAGGCAGTTGCCATGGTGACGGCCAGTGGGTGCCACATTCTGGGATGGTCCCCAGGAAAGACAGGATGTAGTTACCCTGGCAACTTCATCTCCTCTGGAGAGACAGGTATTGCCCCGTTGCCCTGGTAACAGCTGGGTTCGGAGGTTTACAGGGAAATGATGGCTAATTCATTGGGATGTCTCTCTCTCCGCGGATCGCTGTGGCCTCTGCAACTGTCTCTTTGTATTTTTTTGCCACTTATCCTGTCTTCCTCACTTCACTCTGGCTCTTCGTGTCCTTCCTCCACCCTGTCCATCACTAGCACCCCAGCCCGGGGGAGAAGTGCTGAGGAGACCCCAGGGTTCTGGGAAGCAGCTCAGGCTGCCTGCCCACCCCCACCCCTCAGTTGTGACAGCTGGTCCTCTCCTGAGGCCTCTTCTGCAACCTCTCTCCCACCCCAGGCCCCCAGAGGGACCATGGTGATCGGGCCTCCTGGGGCTCATGTCCCAGTTTCTGCTTGTGCGTCAAGTTAAGGTAAAAAAGGCGAGAGGCAGCTGTGAGGAAGGGAACAGCCTGGTTACCCAGGCCTGGGCCAGTGGCCCTGCCCCTGCCCTGGAATCTGCATTTCCAAATGCCGCGGGTGCCTTTCTGCCGATTTAACTCTTCAGGACATCAGCAATACTTACACCAAGATCTCACAAGGCCAAGGTGGTCAAGAAGGAAAAGGACGGGAGTTTACGATTGTCTCAGTCTGAGCTCCAATTCTTTTTTTTTTTCTTTGACAGAAAGCGAGAAATCACCCCCCCAGGGGGGATGGTCACGCCGCAATCCCTTCTCCTCCATTCTCCTCTTGGGATCTTGGGCACGCACGCACACACGCCTGGCGTGAGTTTTAAGCCACCAGGTCCAGGACGCGAACCACGGTCGGCTACGTGGGAGTCCAGCGACATAGGCATTACGTTAACTGCTGGTTCCCCTGAGCTCCAATTCTAACACGTATTCGCTGCGTGGCCCTGGGTGAGTCACTGACCCCCTCTGAGCCTCCAGGTCCTTTTCTATGCAACAGAGAAACAAACTTGCCTCTGCGGAGGAAGGCGAAGCAGGCTAGGGCTGGGAGGGTCTTGGGGAAGTATGTAGACATCGGGGCCCTTCCCTCTCAAGAACAGCAGCAGAATATTCAAAGAGGGACCATGGGGGCCAGCAGGTGGTGTGGTGGCTGGGGTGCTGGGCTCCCACATGGCTGATCACCATTCGGGTCCTGGACCTGGTGGCTTGCTTCCTCACTTTCTCTCTCTAGTAAATTTTTTTAAATAATCAATCAATCAATCAATAAAATTAAATGGATAACTCTTGAAGGAAAGAGAGAAAAAAAGAAAGAAAGAAGGACCATGATCACCCCCATCTCCCTAGATTGGTCTTAAAATCTGGGACCCTACACGCCCACTCTCTCCACTCAGGAGAAGGGGTGCTGCAGCTCGTCTCACCGCCAGCATTTGCTCCCAATACCACAGGTCAGATCAAAGGATCCGGGGAGCCAAAGTCCTCGGAGCCTCCAATCGGCCTTTCTGTCACCTCATTTGTGGGGTATGTGGTCTTCTTGTTGGTTCCCCAATGAGTCCCAACTCACTACCCTAAGCCCAGGGGCCCCTAGAGACATCCGGGTATCCCCCCAACTCTGCCCCTCTTCCTGGGAGTCTGGGCGGGGAGAGAATGATGTTGAGCTTTCCCATTCAGCCCCTTTTTCCCAGGAGAGGGAAGGGAGGGAGGCAGAGGGGAGGAGGGAAGCGCAGCAAGGGAGGAGGGGGATAATGGCTTTGCCACTAATTGCACCATTACCACCTTCAGAAAAAGGAAAAACCATTCGGTTTTGTTTCTGCGCACAATATGCTTCCCGCTTCTGCCGCCAACGTCGATTCAGAGCAGAGAGGGGAGGCCTGCGCTCGGGGGCTGCACAGCGCGGGCAGTGGGCAGGGCACGGAACACCGTGGCCAACTCGAGGTCTACGCCTGGAGGGAGAAGCACCACACCGCTGGCCTCCTGTCCCAGACCCTCTAGCCTATCCCCTGCAGGAGACAGCTTCCTTCCTCAGGGCACAGAGGTCACTCCAGTTGTTGCCTAGGAAAGAGAAGAGGCAGTGTGGGGCGGTAGTTAGAGCAGCCCCCTACTTACAAGCTGCGTGACTTCAGATGAGGATCCTAACTTTTCCGTGCTTCAGTTTTTCATCTGCAAAATTGGGTAAAGACGATTCCGTAACTCCAGGGCTGCTCAATGGATGAAATGAAATGAGCACAGTTGATGCTATAAACACTCAGTAAACAGGGGAAGTGCATTATCTAGGGCCTAACACATCATTTCCTTCACACCCCTCTCCCTGAACCGCAGAAGCACACACCACCATCTTCTAGTCCTGGCACTTTGAGCACCGTCGTCTGAGCCCCCGCCCCCCCAGAGTTTAGCTCACGGTTTTGACCAGGCCTAGTTTGCAGCAATTCCTGCAGAAGAAAGGATGAGCACTAGGAAGAGAGGTCACAAGGACCGCCAGCTCCTCAGGTGCCATCAGAACGACAAGACCGCTTTAAAAGTTGACGAGTAAAATAAAGAGAAATGTGCCGTGAGGCCGCATTCATGGAAATCTAACATTCTGCACGAGGAGGTGATCGTCTGCTGAAATGGAGCCTATTCGGGGCTAGCACAGCACAGGGAGATCCAGTCTCGCATACGTTGTGTGGGGGCCTCTCTTGGGCCTTGGGAAAGCCTGCAGTGATTCAGGAACTTACAGGGCTGGAGGCAAGGACAGGGCCAGCTCTCGCCCTGCCTCTGCCAGGACCATGCCATGGCCTGTGTGGCTGCAGGGGTGGGGCCAACCCCAGCCGGCCACTCTCCTCACCCCACCTGTCTGTTCTTTTCTAGTTCCATCTCTCTTCTCAACGCTCCTTCCTTCTTTTTCTCTCTCTGCCTCCCCCCACCCCGCCCTGTGTCTCTTCCTTCTCTCCCTTACACCTCCCTTCCTACTTCTCCCTGTCACTTTTCTCTCCCTCCTGTTGGCCCAGACCCCCATGCCTGCAGTGCTGGGGGATGAGCAACCCAGGCTGTAGGATCCTGATGGTGGAGAGATGGCTGGCGATGGAGGAGAGTGAGGAAGAGGAGGGAGAAGAGAAAGAGGTCTCCTTGGCAAGTCTCTTGCACACACACGCACACTCGCACACACCCACATCCCTCTGAACCTCCAAGTCCTCACTAAGGGTGTGGGCACTGCCTTGGACAGGCACCCCCACCCTGAGTGTAACTGCCACTCTACTGCGGAGGCATGACTGCTAATTCACTGCCTCCCCTGTGCCCGCGAGGCTGGCAGCTGTGCCCGGTGGTGGCAGGCAACGAGGAGCCAGCCGAGCCTCTGTGGTGCTGAGAGAATGAGCCGATGATTGCATCAGGGGGATTGTTCCTGCCAGACTCCCTACTCCCCAGGGCCAGGGCAGGCACGAGAGCCGGCACGTGTGCCCCCATCTGCAACATGCGTGTGGCACTCAGGAGCAGGCCTGTGTGCCATGGGCTGGTGGCCGGGGTGGGAGCCCTGGAGGTGGCTGAGCATAGCCCTGACGTGCCAGAACAGGGATCAGCACGCGAACACAGGCCTGTGTCTTCCATCCCCACGTCCATGGAAGGGATCAAAGGAGACCAGGGCCACGTTCCTAGGAGGTGACACTGTGGCAGCTGACTCGGCCCCTGTACGTGTTCACATGCACGTGCCCAAGTGCCTCAGGGTCCTGCAGGGTCTGGGCAGCCACTGTAGAAAGCACGCCATCCTTAGAGTCCTCCTGGGGCCTGTCCCACTAAGGACAGTCAGTGTGGGGGGCAGGACGGGAGGAAAGTGGGCCGAGAGAGGAGGTCCTGCCAAGGGTCTGGCTCCAGGCAGGGGCGTCAAGATTGACCGTTGTGGTAACACCAGGCCTGAGCAGAATGGAGGGGAGGTGGGGGTCAGGCACGGTGCAGTGGCACCATGTGGAAGGCACTCCTGGCAGCGAGAGTGAGACAGGGAGCCACAGACAGAGGACAACGGCCCTGGGCTGAGGTTGCATAGCAGTGAGAAGACTTGAATTCAAGTCCCGGAAGAGCTTGCAACTGGCCTTTTATCCAGTGGGGCCTCTGCTTCCTTCCAGGAAAGAAGGGGCCCAGAGCTTTTCCTTTCCAGCCAGGTGTGTGGTTCTCCCCTAGCTGCTGAGGGTCTGGTTGGCAGAGCCCAGGACTGCATAGGTAGGGCACAGCTTAGACAGGCTGCCCCTGATTCTGTCCCATCTAACTGGCAGATCTGCCACCCCTGGTCCAGCTAAGGGAACCACAGGGGCCTTGCCCCACATCATCTCTGGGCTGCGCTGCCTCGGATCTCTGGCTGGAGGGCTGGGGCTACCATACCTCTGCCCTCCCTCCCAGCACTCTTCCACAGGGCCTGGCTGGTACAAGCACCTCTCTGGTGGTTCAGCTAGCATCCAGGCACAGAATCCAGACCCAGGTGACCTGACTGCAGGAGGGACTCAGGACACAGGAAGCAGGAGGGCTGGGTAGGAGCCATGCTGACTGCTGGGCAGAGCAGAAGCCACAGGGTCTGAGCCTCTCAGCACAGTACCCCAAGACCTTCCACTGATCTCGGACCTGGGCTAGCTGCCAGCCCCCCAGGACCAGGTTGAAGGATGAAGCTTAAG